CACTTGTCTCTCTGTCACATTTTTTTAACAATTGTGCCAAACATTTAAATGTAGCCAGTGACACAAGGCAGTTTAGTAATGTGGTCTCCCATTATGAACACTAGAGGGCACTGTGTAAAATTATCACATAGATGAGAGAAGAAGAAGAACGTATAGGTTGGTTTATGTGAGCAAGTCGGGCTGCCAGTCAAGTATTTTTAGAGTCGATTGCCTTATCGATTATTCCATCAAATAAGTAATCGGATGCTTTTTTCCACAAGCACCAATCTCCACTTTACTGCAACGGTCCGTTCTGTAGCTTCTCTCAGTTTCCTCTGGAATAAAGCTTTTCCGCTCCAACCCAATGCAAATAGTTATGTAGAGTCTATGCTTTCCATTACCTTTGATGAGACAATCGCTCCTAATCACATGGCCGCCACATTGGTACATTTTAGTTTTTCCTGTACTAGTCTAAGTCTGTTTATCTTCGACAAGAGAGCAGTGTAAGTCGGAAATGTGTGACCAGTCCCTCTCTCTACGGCGAATTGCAGTCAATGCTGGAACGAACAGACTTTGAAAGTTACTATACAAAGGGGAGTTTTGAGTGGACTGGACACCGCTATTTTTATGTCTATGAATCTAGGGTGTGTTGTTTCCGGGTCTGATAAATGGAGATTCCACTGTACTGTATTTTCTGTTGGGATCAGTTAAATTAACATCATAAACATCTTTTGAAAATGAAACACAAGAATATCAATAATTACGACAAACCAAACCAACTGTACTGTTTGGTGGAAACAGAGTTTAGGTCGGAACCATCTCGTCGTTTGTACGCACCAAGCCAACTCGACACATCCAGTTGCCTGAATATTGTTTTCTCACAGCCCAGTCTGTCCCAACAAATATTGTCTCTCCACACTAAAATTACAAGCCACGCTCTTTTGCGTGTGAGAGTGATGCAGATTGTGCAAACCAGTTCCTAGTTCTATTTTGGTGGCTCTTAGCTAAGGGAAGAAGTGCATCCTCCTGTCTCTGCTCTGCTCTCCTTTGCATGACACAAGAGGACTTGGCTATATCGGTTCGAATCACAGCGGTGACACGATCACCCTATATTGAGCTCATCACTCCTCAAGTGAGCCCGTGGGAATTCCTTCGCTGTTGTAAAACCATTTTTGTGGGTGGCGTTTTAAGCTGACATATTTTGGGGGTCATTTTGAAAACCTATCCTTTTTTTTTTAATGATGGAATCAAACAGGAAGCCTTGTAAACCTTTTCAATGGCAGCAATAACATGAACATTTTTTTTCAAATCTTCAGGTCTGCAGCGACATTAGTTTTAAATTAATAGTGTGTGTCACCTTTTTATAGCAAGAAAATTTAAATCAGCAAATATTGATTCGTGGTGAATTATGAGAAGGGCTGACAGTTTGAAACTGCAGATTGTCTACATTTTTTGGGGGGGCTCTTTCACGAAAACCAAGTAAAAACATAGTGTGCCACGTTTCCTGAAGTTTGCCAGTGTGCAATCTGCTTTGGAAACTACTGGGTTATGCAGCTGGGATCGCATATGGCGGCGATGGGAAGAGCAAATTGTCTGACAGTGTAACGTAGCCATCAGATGTCAGATTTTACTCGCAAATGAATCCAGTTCAGATACAGAACAATGCAAATTGCTTCATGAAGATATCTCATCCTGCTGTTGCGCCAGTGTTATATCTCTCTTTGTATATCATTTCCTTCGTAAAGTTGTTTTAGGTTACCGTAACTGTCAAGAAATATCCGATTGCACCCAAGTGAATCAGTCAGTTGCATTCCTTTTCCCAGTCCCTGTCTCTCAGTCATGTGATCTTCAACTGCTATTTATGAGTGTGTCATACAAATACAATTTATGCGTGAACACACGTCAGGACTGCAGACCGCACCGACGTGCAAGTCGAGCCGTAATCTTCCTCTGCCACGGTGTCACGAGTTCCACAATAACAGCACGCTAAAAGTTGAAAGCAAACAAATATTGCAGTGACGAACGATCATGCTCACCCAGGCATTCATATACCCTCAGTTAAAAAGAAAAAAAACATCAGGAAGAACTCAGGGGATGTTGAAGACGCCCTCTGTGACTCACGAACTGAATTGGCGTATTTACTCATACCCTAGTCCATTGTTGTTATTCCTGGGCTGAAATCCAAAGTCAAGTCTCTGTAATTCTGTTTTCAACCATACTGTACAATATCCTAAACGTTCAACTACAAAAATTCTTTTGCCAGATACCTCTGTGTTGGCCTCACTGATCTGCTCCACTCTTTCAGATGAACCTTAACATCTTAAGTTGCATCAAGGAGGTTTGCGCTGATGTTTAAGCCCCGTTGAATCACGTGATAAAACATGAGTTTATAGTAGGGGAGCCTGAGGAATCCAATGTAAACGGACATGTTAAGTAAACACAAAATGATCGATTAAAATTAGACACATTGCATTGGGAAAGTTGCGGCTCTGATGAAGATACAAATAGACGGTGTGTATGGAGGAGGAAGCTGTTAAATTGCACATGACACTGGTCACTGGGCCACTAGCCTTATTTCAAACGTAGCCTGTCACAATAAAAGCCATGTTGATTGATCACACATAACAAACGGGAGCGATTAACTTCCCAAGCCTGCTCTCGCTGAAGTCATGGCCTCTCTCATTGCTGTTGCGCTGCTGGATGAACGCTGGCCCATAGTTCGTTCCAAGGAAAGGCAGCAACTTCCTTTTGACTGAGCACACTCATTTCATTTCAACAGATCAGAAACTACGCTGTTAATCACTGCTTTGTTCATCTTTGACCATCCTTAAAACGAACTTGGTCTGGCATGTCTTTGTGTTTGCTTCAAGCAGTTTATTGCCACTCCCATTCGAGGTTCACTGTAAAATTAAAAGTGAAACAGAGAGAATTATTATTAGTGTTTAACCAAACCAAATAACTTTGCCTTACGCAAGTCTGCTATCTTAATGCGAACACACAATGCAAAACGCCGTAGATGGGTTCGTGAAACTAGCGTTGCTGTAGCTGTTGCAACACATTTTCAAACATGGAGAAAGACGACAGTATACAATAGTAAGGCACACTTGCGGGCATATATTCTTCCTCTGCAAAAAAATGACCAATACCAAGCTGCATTATTGTCTTATGTGCGTGTTACACGACCACCTTGCAAATTTTCTGGTTGATGTTATACGGTGACCTGGAATGAATTAATGTAATTTCCATTCATTTTAATGGTGGAATGCACCACCGTCGTCTGCGTTGGCTCCTCACCGGTTCTTTTCTCCGTCCTTACTTTCCTCCTCATTCTGACAGAATTTTACCTCAGTTTTGAACTGCGTGAAAGTAATTGGATTCCAATGAGCAGCTTAAAGCCTTCACAGGAAAGCTGTCAAATGACAGCACTCCATTGGGCCAAAGCAAGGTGGAGTCATTAGCCCTCCACACCCTGTGACATCATCAGCTTCTTGACACTGGACTCATTATTGGCCCCACCTTGCATGTCAGCCCTCAGTTTGGGTGCTGAGCTTTTTGAAAAACTTGTCTGCGGCGGCTCAGCAACGTTTGCTACATGACCCTTCACATGTTTAGCGCAATGGGTTTACCACTAGGTCATGAAACTTGAAGGCGGATGAATTCAAACGATCCCAAAGGGAGTATAAATCCCCAGCCTCTCCTTATGGCGAAATTGTTTTGGGGTCAAAGTATATTTCAATAATCCAGAGACTAACCACAATGGGTTTTTGGTTAGACTTTTGTCAAATTTGCTGTGCCGAAACACAGCTCAGAAGTTATCTTGAATCCAACTCCTTGAATACTAATAAAGATATATGTCTTCCACACCGAGCCGGAGCACCTCCGTGCCACCCCTTCCTTTCTGTAGGCTGTGAATTCTTAGACTGTGAGGCCCTGTTGTTCCTCTCAGGTTTTCCCACCCTACTACACCCACCGACTGCCTCGGTCTGCCCCCCATTCATCATGCGTTGTGTAACTATGCAAACGTGGCAAAACGCCGCGCTCCCCAGCAGATCTGATCACGTATCCTTTTTTTTTTTTCTGTCAAGACACAGAGTTTAGACACAAAGATGCACAAACACAGACGATTGCAGCTCAAGCTCGAGAGGAGTTTAATTGTCAATGGAGTCGCTGGATTGCAAAGGGGGTGTGGACCTACATGGCATTTACAAAAGCCAGGTGGCCTCTTGCGGTGGTTTTGAGGAACTGCATCTCAGCAGCCAAGACAGCGCCCTTGCACAACGTGAAGAGTTTGAAAGTTTGCAGCTGTCTTCAATCAAAATGTCGGTCGAAAAACACTGTGCTTCACATAGTTATGCAGCAATACATGTATGAAATACAGAAACTTGGGCATAATTCTTTTGAAAAATATTCTAACTGCAATTTTTCAATTTATTATGAAGTTATATTTTCAAGGTCCTCTTGCCATGTATTTTCAAACACACACAAGCAATAAATAAAACCTTCCTACAACAAACGATATCAGATGTGTTATACATCAATGTTCTGGTTTTACAGGTTAGTCCAATGCTAAATTAAAGGCAAATGAACCATGAGTTAATAAGTGAGACAGTTTATTTAGAGTCATTAACTTGTTTGAAAATTGCATTCGACAACATTGAGATGACCATTTGAATTTGATTCATTGTTCAGCCGTAACAGAAACACAAAAACAGTTAACACGAGAAACTACAAAGAACATCAAAATGAGGAGTCAAGTCAAATGCTGCTTTCACTGGTGTGCTTTTAACTGAACACGCAGTTCTTCACCCGAAAGGATGTGCATACCCCAATTGTGGTCAAAGAACCGCAAGGGTGAATAACCTTAAGTTTTTAATTTTGTGCGAGGGACGTTGAGTAGACAGCAATTGGAAACTGCAGTGACAGATGACACCAAATCCATCAAGTATGATATTTTTTTGCAGGGATGTGAACAGATTTTAAATAGATCCCTCACCTCTCTCGATCTGGTCGTCTCCCCTCAGCTCGACTTCCCGACCGGAAGGCACCACGGCGCCGTCGTCCACCCAGGGCAAGAGTGGCACTCACAAAATCTGCTTGGTGTGCTCCGACGAGGCTTCTGGGTGCCACTACGGCGTGCTCACGTGTGGCAGCTGCAAGGTGTTCTTCAAAAGAGCAGTGGAAGGTGAAGTTGCCACCAGACAGATTTGCTTGCATGACACCGTGATCACGTCATATTGTGTTGGGAGAATAAATAATTTTCTCTCGCAAAACTTATATGACAGCAGTTGTTGTAGCTTGGCAATTTTTTCATTTTGAATTACTTGCCATTGTCAAAACCGTTCAGGAGTTACTGCACAAAAATGACACATAAATGTCCAAGACCAACTAGAAACCACTCTCAGTGTAACTCTGCACTGACACCGAGCAGTCCGTCAATCCATTTTCAACGAGGATTGGCAGAAGTTTCGAGAAGTGAAATTCTCCCTCCGTCATGTTTGTAACATTTGGCAGAGTAATTGTTTTCATAGGTCAAAATGTAAAGTAACTCAACCCACAAAAGACCAACATGACCATTCTGAGCTGCTGATTTGATTTTCAGTTATCCAATCTCAGTTAGATGGAAAGGGTGCTGAAGGAATAATAAAAATAATAATAATAATAATGTCGTGAGATTAGATTGATTTATGTATTCTGTATATTGTTTCTCGATGTGTTTGTGGAGTCATTTATTACTTTAGTGGAGTAGACCGACAGATAAAACTTTATCGGTGTTTTTTTTTTCAACGGAAAATAAAAAATAACAAATGAGCCGTGTAAATAAACCATACAATCTTTTTAGTGCTCTCATTTTCTAGTATGTACAAATGGAATTTCATGACTTTTTCATGGAGAAAGAAAGGGGAAAAAAACACTTGACACAATCATTTTGTGTTTTTTGAGTGGCGTTTTTGTTTTTTGTGATTTCTGTTTTTTTTCCGCTATTAGTCTAAGTGTAAGAACATCAAATATGGAATCAATTATTAATTTATGACGATAGAGAACCGCTGTCTATCAGACCCTCTCGCAACAGGCTAAAATCTGTGCTCTAGGGACTCCGCGTTTTAGGGGTACAAATTAAAATTTGGACGTGCCCTTATCTTTCAAAACCCATAAAAGGATCGCCTCAAAATCCACCACACAGCTGGTTCTTGAAAGATGAACTGCATTGTAACAGAGGTTCACTACATTTTATTTTTACAACCTTTCTCCTAACATGAATCTTCCTCTCCTCTTACTCCTCAGGGCAACATAATTACTTGTGTGCTGGAAGAAATGACTGCATCATAGATAAAATCAGGAGGAAGAACTGCCCAGCCTGCCGCTTCCGCAAGTGTCTAATGGCCGGCATGAATCTAGAAGGTACAGCCACAGTTTCTGAGTGCAAAACAGTCTATCATGAATGTTCTTCTTGACTCGGCGTGTCTTCTGCAGCGCGCAAAACCAAGAAGAATCGCGTGAAAGGCATCCAGCCAAGCAACTCACCCGAGTTGCTGCCCCCGAAGCCAGCCGAACCTCAGGCACTCGTCCCCAAGTGTATGCCTCAGCTGGCCCCCACGATGCTGTCCCTTCTGAAGGCCATCGAGCCCGACACCCTCTACGCGGGCTACGACAACACCCTGCCTGACACCCTCTCGCGCGTCCTGACCTCTCTTAACAGACTGGGTGGCCGACAGCTCATTTCTGCGGTCAAATGGGCGAAGGCTTTGCCAGGTGGGTTTCATCTGGAAAGCTCACTGACAGAAGTTGGGCAAAACCAGGGCAAACGATTGTTCAACTTGTTCTTTGTTGAGGGAACATCATAGCACAATGATCAAAAACGACTGCCAAATTCCTCTTTGCCCTGAAATGTTGCGGCATGTTCCTTTTTGTAAGTTGGAAAAGCAAGATGACCGCACCCCAAAAAAGTCGTTGTTTTTCACAGACACTTTAAAGTCAACTCGCAGCTTTTCTCAAATGAAAATCTTGCATTAATAATCAACGGGAATCAATTACATATGTCACGTCATCATCCAGAAAGACCTACAGGGTATTTGTGTTTCTTAAACAGTCATGAAAGGCATTCGTTGTTTAAAAAAAAACAAAAAAAAACAAGGTTTAAATTGGCATTCAACTGCTTTAAATCATTCTCTCCAAAGTCTGAAAAAATGTGGTGGTAAAGTCACACATTCAATTTTAGTCTGGACTCCTAAGAGCAGCAGATGCGTATCCCTTTATGGAGCATTTTTGGTCAAGGTGGGATCACCATGTCCCACATTGTGAAATTGGTCTTTATTGAATTTCAAGGTGAACAAAAGGTCTCGAGTCTGCCTTAAGCTGTAGCTGCAGCATATTGAGAGCTGTTCTCAATATTCATGCATCAAATTAGCGAAAACATTGTTAAATGAATCTCTCCGACAGCGTCAATTGAAACTGACTCTTATTATCTCGGTTGAGGCAGAATTTTCAACAGGGTTCTTGATTTTGTTCAAGTGGTCCTAATGTGTCCTCAGTCTTCAGCCGGGCTCTCCTCCCTTTCAGGTTTCAGGAACCTCCACTTGGATGACCAGATGACCCTGCTCCAGTGCTCGTGGCTCTTCCTCATGTCATTTAGCCTGGGCTGGAGGTCGTACCGGCAGTGCAACAGCAACATCCTCTTTTTTGCTCCGGACCTTATCATGAACGAGTATGTGACAAAAAACTTGTCTTCCCAAGTAAACTGCAAAGGGAAAAGCGAAATGCCGGACCCCTCGAACACGTTGCTCCCGCCTTAACTGTTGCCCTTTCCGCTTGTTTTTCTTCTGTGTATGAAGGGAGCAAATGAAGCTGCCCTACATGGTCGACCAGTGCAAGCAAATGATGAGGATTAGCAGCGAGTTTGTCCGCCTGCAGGTTTCCCTTGATGAGTATCTTTGCATGAAGGTCCTGCTGCTGCTCAGCACAGGTCAGTCTCTCATCGCGTGACATTTGACTTCCGAGCAGTCCACAGAGGCTTGAGATTATTTCCCTCGTCCGCAGTGCCAAAAGATGGCCTGAAGAGTCAGGCGGCTTTCGACGAGATACGAATGTCGTACATCAAGGAACTGGGAAAAGCCATTGTGAAGCGAGAGGAGAACTCCAGCCAGAACTGGCAACGTTTCTACCAGCTCACCAAGCTGCTGGACTCCATGCATGAGGTGAGAAAGCTGCACGCAATCCTACAGTCAGGACAACAGAATGGTAACAAAACACGTTGTCGCATAAATTCATTCCATCATATGCATTCAATTCCAGTGTAGTTGACAATAAGTATTGGGATTTTTTTGTTGTTGTTTTGTTTTCAACTTTAACACTCCCAAAGACATATTTATATGTCTTTTCACACTCCACACGTTCAACCCCAGATACTTATTTTTTTTTCAATTTCTTTCAAGACTTAGCGTAAAAAGAAAATGTTTTGGGATTTTTTTTACCCTAAGTAGTAGTAGTAGTAGTAAGAGTGAATGAGTTCAGCGACTTTACAACAAAAAACGACCTTGAACCATTGAGCAATTGTCGCCATTTTATGCAAAGTACCTCCATTTTCCAGGGCACAGCAATCGGTTACTTGTCCAGGTCATCTTTTGTGCTTTAAGCTAAATGAAGCAGTCTGCAGCGTATCAGTTATTTTGAGTGTATCAGAAGCAGTCTGACTGCAGCTGCCTAACGTGAACTCCAAAGAAACGTCCGTGCACTGAAGGAAGTTGGAAAACAAGAGACATATTTATTAGAGGGATATCAATTTGGGTCTGGTCCATTCGAATAAACTCAACAAAGCTTGTGCGTGCAGACTGATGGAGGTTGCTGTTAACCTTTAGCTTCACTGAACGCGGCTGATCACGTCATTGTTTAACATACCACCTGCATTCATGGTTTCATGAAACAAAAATGCACACAGAGCAACCTTGTCCAACGCAGTCATAATACAAAACTAAGTACCGGTAAATAGCCAAGCTTGATTTACAAGAAAATGCCTTTTTTTGTGCTCTTGGTTTGCGTTAGCCACTTGTTGTTTCGGATTCACTAACTCACAGCCGTTCATATTGACCGGTTGTGACTGACAGCCGATGGCAATTTTGCCTACTGAGTTGGTGAAAACTGCTTGCCCGTCGGGGGCTCCTTCACCTAAGTCGTATCTCAGAATACATGAACATTTCGATCATCTCCATTCACAGGACTGTAGCCCGCGAATATTTTGGGATTTGGATGTCCTCATGAGACTTCTGTGGGAGAATTGGATATTCGGATGAAAAATCTCTCTCTATATATTTTGCTTGGTGAAAGAACAATTATGAATACGGAAGCCACAAAAGTGAAGAACAAACGACCACCTGCTTTTCATTTTTAGATCATCAATATTTTAGACTTGAGTTTAAACTGTTCTTAGCAGCACACTCATTTCCTCTTTAGAAACATCACCTAGTGAGATTTTAGACAAATCTCTCCCCAGAGATTTTCGTCTATGAGATGACGTGATGTCAGAACGAACCACAATAGCGATTTTTGCCAGCTAAAACAACACACTTGAGACAGCCTGATTTGTTTAAAAGTGATCAGTGGGAACAGCACCTGGGTCAAGCTGTCAGCTGTGACCGTTTTTTTTTTTTTTGTCTTCTTTTTAACCGAAGTACTCCAATGAATCAGACCTGAACTCAATTTTCTCAACTTAAGGATCATCTTTTTTTTATGGAAGGAACACAGTTTGCTCAATAAATAATACCAAGGTAAGTGTGATCATGACGGCTGTCATTGTGCGTGTGTGCAGATGGTCGGCGGGCTTCTCAACTTCTGCTTTTACACCTTTGTGAATAAATCGCTGAGCGTGGAGTTCCCGGAGATGCTGGCCGAGATTATCAGCCACCAGCTTCCCAAAGTCAAGGCCGGTGGCGTCAAAGCCCTCCTTTTCCACCAGAAATGACCCGTTTGCTCCCATCGGAGGCCATGCCTTAACACCCAAGACCACCACCACCCTGAAAAGACTGAGTACATACATCTTTGGGAGCGGGCGGAGGTTTTTCAGATTTCTTAGGAATTGTCGTGCAGACGAGTGCGCTTCACACCCATGTTGTCTCAGGTGACTTCCTTCAACGAAACAACTATATCCGTCGACTCTACACATGAATTACTTTGTACAGATTCTAATAGTATTTTTGCATCCGGACAGTTTTCCAGGTTGTAGTCACGTGGAAGCCAACTAAACTCCATGACTATTTAGTATTTTGAAACTCTTGAGTTGTTATAGGAGGTTGCGACTAGACTAGCGCCCCGTCTCAATGATCTCGCTTCATTTTGTGCTTTGATCCGTTTCGATATGAAAAACACTTTTACGTTAGCCATTCAAGATTACGCCACAAGCTGACCTCTTCACGGTTTACACACGTCGATTCATAAAGGGAAAAAAAAATGTGCCTTTTATTTTGGTGTTGTCGTTGCGTAAAATATCATCTCAGCTATCTCTTCCTACCTGCGTGTGGGGCGTTGAGGGGCGTGCCTCTCCTCAGCCCATCGCAAGTTTACCCTGATTGTACTACATGCAGTTGCGAGGCTTCCTTTTGAAACGACTGTTTTCCTTTCTCCTCTGAGCAGAGCTGCGTGCATATACGTATGTGCGTGACTCGTCCCCGTACCACACATGAAATTCCCAAAGTGCGATATAAGTACTTTGGACTCTGCTATAAATAACGGCTTTCAAAGACTGTGAAGGATGACTGTGGCTTCGTCACAGTCTTCATATAAGATTTGGGGTTTTAGCCCGCCTCATCTCAAATTGGCACCCCACCCCTTCCTTTCCCCACTCATTTACCTTAAACCCTCCATTGTATTTAACAGAATGTGATTTGCGTCAACCAATCAGAAAAGAGAGTCCTATTTTCATGCGGATTTGTAGCTTGTTAGTGCATCTGAAGGGTGCAGCTGTTCAGCCATGAGGGCGAGTGTGTGATCCTGATCCTGCGTCGCCCCGAAACTCATCGCACCGTGTTTTACTCAAAATGTCCACCTACACCTTTAAAGTTGAACACATCACTGATGGTTAAAATATTTCCTCATATAGTGGTTTTGTTACTTGACTGAAGAAGAGCACTTGGTGTCTGTTACGGTTTAGGTTAGAGAGACTCTCAAGTCAACTCGGCTGTGCTTCGAGAGCACTTTAAAACAAACACCGCTGGATGCTAAGTGCTCTGCATGGATAAAAAAATAATATCGATTATATTTTATCATTCACGGTAAATAATTATTATTCATTTTTAAATGGTTCCGCAATATGCTATGTATCATCTATGACTAGAATATTGTATCTTGCAAGGGTTTCCCAAATAGTAGACTTTGTTTCCTCCCCGCGGACCTAAACATGTACTGCTATCTGAAGATTTCTTTTTTCGGACAATTTGAAATTACATTGCTTAAAAAAAATAAAAAAAAAGATTTAGAGAATTATGGCATTTATTTACCCTGACCTGCAAATGCTACAAACAATATATTATTGTGCAAAACCCCATGCATCCAGAAATAGAATTTTTACAGAAAATGATGCAGTAGACTTTCTGAGTGCACCAAAGCAATATCTTTGTACCTCGGGATTATTTTATAATATAATATAAATGAGCTCTTTTTCACCCAATATCTGCCAGCTAGAGTCACTTAAACCATGTCTCCTTAAAGTTACCTCCCGTGGGGAGTATCTCTTAACTTCTGCAGTGAGCTATCGGGTGGGATCGACTAACTGCTTCATTGACCATAAAAATGAGTCAACACAAAACAATTCTGCCTCGAAACTAAAAATGAAAATGTATTTTTAGGGGAGAGAGTCCTCAATTATTTGAGGGAATAATCAGGTCTAGAATGTGACGGATGGCCATAGTCACAACAGCCAAAAGCGTCATTTTCTTTCATTACTCGCCTTAATACAGTGTAGTTCTCTTTGTTCAAGCTGTCTGTTGAAGATGTTACTTGCTCCTCAGACCATCAAAAGTACTATCCATCCGGCCATCCATTTTCTACCGCTGATCCAGGATCGGGTCGCGGGGGCAACAACCTTAGCAGGGAAGCCCAGATTTCCCTCTCCCCAACCACTTCTTCCAGCGCTTCCCGTGAGGCGGGGTGGACATAGTCTCTCCAGCGTGTCCTGGCTCGTCCCCGGGGACTCCTTCAGGTGGGACGTGCCTGGAATACCTCACCAGGGAGGTGCCTAGGAGGCATCCTAATCAGATACCCGAGCCACCTCATCTGGCTCCTCTCGATGTGGAGGAGAAACGGCTCGACTCTGAGCCCCTCCCGCATGACCGAGCTTCTCAACTTATCTCTAAGGGAGGGCTCAATGCTTGTCAAAAGTATGAATTATTACAAAATAGTCATTTGAAAAGTGAACAAAGTGGCGAAACAGATTTGATACTGGGCTATGCGGCCCGACACAAATGACGGACAAGGCAGACACCAGTGTCCATCGTACACAAAAGAATGGGAGGACAAATTACTCGATAATAACACAAAAAAATCTCTTAATTTCCAGTTAGGTCATGGGAATGAACATCATTTATTTGAACCGTTCTTTTTTTTTTTTTTTTGTGGGTGGCATGTTACGACGAGCTCCCATGGCAGAATGAGTGCACATTTTGGATTTTGCCTCATTTGTGCTTGTGTAGCGTTTCTTCAAATGGACAATTGACACTGACATTAATTAGAGCAAAGACCACTATTTGGGGAAATACTTTAGTTGGGAGTCATTTTCCTGCCAAGTCCCCTTGTGCGCGTTGTCTCAAAAGGTTCGGCGCACCACTTTTTGGTGCGTTTGCTCTTCTTCGCTCTCTTAGCTATGTGTTGTTACAACACGGCTGATAAGCTCCTCCCTCGTTGTGTTCAAAGTGCAAGCCTCCATTTTTAGGTATTCACTGCCATCGATCGGGATGTGTGTCGTGTGTGGGAAGCATTTGTGTGCGCCCGCTTTATGAAATGAATGTAAATAATGAGATTATTTAAGTATGTACAAAACTTGGATGAAATCGATTGGACAAGTCATAAAAGATGGTGTATAGTTGGCTTATTGTGTGAAATGGTCACTAGGCCTATTTGTCAAGGAACTATTTGTCGAGATGGACGCCTCGCGATAAGAAGCAGTCAGGACAATTTTTATAACCCCCAAAAACTGTAATTCCACAAATTCTCAAAATAATAGTGAAGAAATTGGGTTATTAGCCCCCCCAGAACTATTCATTTTTCCCCGAATGCCCAAGGTTTACGATATGCATTAACATGTTCACGGGGAGATATGAGTTGAGTGCAGTGAAAATCCACCCTACAAAGGTTCAGAACTGCCTGTAGCAAAATTCAACCCCACCAAACCACTTCTACATAGTTCATCGTCACCTAGGTTGCAACAAGGCACTAATGTCGAAATGAAATGCTTCAAACCACTTCAACATAGTTCCTTGGCCCCAAGAAGCTGGCAAGGCACTACTTTGACTACTTTGGTCAAAATGAAACTCCTCAAATCACTTAAACAAACTGCTTTGGCATCCCTTACCTTGGGGAAATTTCTTCAAGGAATCCCCTCTTAATCTAAACAACTATTGTGTGTAACCCTTAAATTACTTTGGATTTTTTTTTTTAACTGAAATAGTCATGGCCTGTGTGATTACTGAAAGCAACTGAACCAAATGAAAAGTAGCAAGGTTGCGGAGTGGCCCCGACGACGTTTCCTCATCCACACAATGACGATGACGTCGGCTTCCGTGGAAGGACAAATTCATTAGACAGAGATGTGGAGGCGCCGATTACTAACATGTGATCCAGGCTCAGGTAATTGTCTCTGTCATTCATATATATATATA